TCACGCTCGTACGGAAAATGTACATTTCTTGCAGGAGGGAGTCTGTGTGTCAAGTCGTGGTCAAACCTTTTTCAAAGGGGATGAGCACACACACAGCTTGCATTCCATGTTCACTAACGTCAGCCCACAGTAAGCTACTGGGCTAGACTTGGAGGGTCCGACCGGGGCAACTCGTTGCTGTGGACTTGTAGGCAAGTCAAGTAGGGCTATGGAATGCTAGGACAATGTTATTGTATTTGTGTTATAGGCTTGGGTAGGAATTCTTAAGCAATACGTTGAGGGGCTTTTCCGCCGGCGGGAGGACGACAATCCCATGCAAACAGGACGGATGTTCCGAATGTTGCTTACATTCATGTTGTCGAAGCTCGCGACGACGGCTCTGGACAGGACGGATGTCAAGTGTGCGTTGGTGGACGTGATGGCAACGTAGTGAAGGACATGGACGCGCATGCACAGGCCATGGAATGGTATGTCTAAATCATGGACGGCGACGTTCAACTCTCAGAATGGTGATTTCTGCCTTTGGGTTCAATTCTGAACCTCGAATGCTGCTGGCTCTGCCCGTACCGGAAAAGTGCTTTCCGGTACGGCGGTGTCAGGAGGTGGTATCTACGTCGTCTTAGGGGCAACCCTAAGACCAAGGGGATGAACGAATAGAGATATACTTTCTGTTTCTTGGCTGCAGCAAGTGTTGTCCTGGGCGCAACGTTGATGGCCTGATGCCGACGCGACCTCCTTTACGACAATGCTAGGCAAACGCAGCGGATGTTCATGAATTACTTAAGCGTTCATATTACTCGTCACAGCTTCAACGGCACTGTACTGGGCGGATGTAAGACGTGCGTTGGTGGACGCGATGGCCTTACGAAGGGGGAGAAAGACGCTTAGGAGATGCTTGGATTGTTATATGTACAAATCACGGACGGGGACGTTTAACTCTATGAATGCTGAATTTTAGCTACTAGTCGGGTTTTTTGAACTTCGCTGTTGTTGGTTCCGCCCGTACAGGAAAAGTGTCTTCTGATACGGCGGTCACAGCAGGTAGTATCCACGTCGACTTGTATGCAAACCAAATACAACGAAACCAGGGGATGATATGACAATTTTGGAATGCTTGTTTCTTGGCCGCAAGCAGCAGCATACTTAAATCGCGTTGGGCCATTTGCCCAGGCTGCCGCAAGGACGACAAGCCAGGCTAATGCAGCTGGTGTCCATGAAAGGGATCATTACGTGCTGAATATGAAAGATTGCTACGAAAACTCTGACCCTGACGGATGTGCATTGTAAGGAAGGAAACGGATGAAGAGTTAGCTCCGCGGCGCATGGAACGCTAAGTAAGGATGATGGACTGTAAGCGTTAATATTCGGAGCAGGGATTTCTGTCTTTTCGCTCGGTTCTGAAAGTCTAACGTCGATTGCGCATCCCGTTTGTTCGGGGAACGTACTTAGATCTGATACGGCTCACCCGATTAGCAATAATGCTTTCTATGCTTGCATAACCATTTTTTAAACACAGACCATTATGCCAAATCTTTGCTGTAATGCCTCTGGCCCAGATGACATTGCATGTGCAACATGTCAAATAAACTCTGCTGCCCTTCTGCAGTGCACTTCAATCCTTTCTTTGTACATAATATTCGTGTAATATGAAAGGTGACTTCTTGCCAGCAGGGTAATGATCGGAGACCTACTCTGACCTACTTATGGCATCCCATGGATTTTGCGGCATGTATCCGCATCATTTGTTCTGTGTAATAGAATTTGTTTAAAAGAAAATTCTCGAAGAGCTATCCTGTTGGTATTTCATGGCTGGACTTCCAGTGCTCCATCCGTACCCAGTGCGGGGCCCGCCCGTCGCCTGCGTAGCTTCGCAAAATTTCGCAAACATTCCTCGTTCACCGGCAGGCGCCCTAAGTGCTACGAAGGTCGTAACACATCCAGCTTCAGAAGAATAGCATGTAGACGTGTTGTTGGACTGCCACTGAACAAAATCTTAAACAAAC